CCCACGCAATGCAACCCAAACCATCACTGAACCGCCGCCTTGTTGCCGTGTCACGACTTGTTTCGCGGGTTGTCCAATATCGCGCCAGTACTGCTTAAAACCATCCGGGCCATCCAGGTTGAACTTCTTTTCGTCCGAAAACACGACGTACTTCCACTCTTCGGTTCTGTAACGCGCCATGGCCCAGTCGAATCTCGCGGCTTTGTGTTGGGATGTAAGATCCAGGGTTTTCTCCATCATGGAGTACTAGAGAAAGTCGCATCGTTGAACTTCGCGTTGAGCGGTCCTTTTAGAGCAAGGTAGGTTCAAGTCGGTACGGATTTGGACGGCGCTTGACGCGCCGGTGGTGGCTTCTCTGAGGAGCTGACGTCGATGGCGATCTGTAAGCTGCAGTGGTCTGCCCCGAGGTTTTGGTTGGCGTCTGTGACGTAAGCATCGTGAAACGACGCTGAGTGGTCGGTTCGTGCGGCCGCCTATCTCACGGAACGTGAGTCCTGCCTTGCGCAGTCCTCGGATTCGACCGCGTTCTTCGTCAGTGACTTTTTGACGTGTTTTCATATACAAAAGTGAAGTGAAATTGACAGGACTAAACTGATTACAAACATTCTGCAAAATTCCGTCATTCTTTATATTAGTTTTTGTATGTATTTTTGTTCCTTAATTTTGTGTCGCTGTCCATTATTTTTGAATTGTATGTGAGGTCATCGAAATCAAGCGAATTCCAGTTCGATAGCCATAATCATTTTTCGAGAATATTCGTCCACACATCATATCCAAACAGCATCGCTTAGCTCCCATTGGTTGATGAGATATCACAAAAAATGTAAGTGTTCTCTCATTTTTGGCGCGCAGTGCATTGCTCCCACCGGTAGGTTTTATAGGGGTCTGAATAAATCCAAATATAAATTTGACCCCGAAAAGTCCTATAACGTGGCCGATTTCGAATATTTTAGTTGTTTTTTCGAATCCTTCCTTAATACATACATTTTTGGATGGATAACGTTGAGCTCTTTCGAATGAGCCCAAAGTATATCGATTTAAACAGTTTAGGATTGCACAATTAATTTTTGAAGTTGAGTACTTTACACAGGGCGACCATTGATGTGCCGATAATTTATACTTGAGTTATGTATTGAAAACGAAAGTTTCAACCTATTTCAACAAAATACGATTACCATTTTATAGAGGTGTATACAATTCAAACAGGTATCATGTATAGAAGTACTTTTAAACACAAATGTTTGGGTTCGTAGCATGAATTTATACAGGTATCTTTGTCTAGAGGTTGCATTTTGTCTCATGAAAATCGATTTAGGGTTTGATTGGATGAATAAGTCGGCCATTAACGTAAAAAACCAATTTAAGATAACTTTTTTGGAGGCGTCGGAGTAGAATGGACATAACTTTTGAGTCCGTTACGAGATTTCAGTTTTGAATACTAGTAGTGATTCCAATAGACAAGACGCTCCGCTTTCAGTTCATAATCGAATGATCAGTTTAGACGAAGAACATCACAGGTAAATTTGTTACTTTCTAAGCATTTGTACTCACATTTTGATAACCAATTACGGTTTGTCCGACTTACTTATTTATTATTTAATCATCCACATTGCAGGACGTTATTTTCAAATTGGTCGACACGTGTGGCCTCACACTCAATGGCTGGGCTAGCGTACTAGTACATACTCTCTAACACACGCCGGTACATACTTGCTTGTACACAAAGCACGATTAATAAGCAGTCAATCATCTACGTTCATTGGTGATGCCGGTGCTGTCGCCGTCCAAGGTCTGGGTCCTCTCATGGTCGATGTCATTGATTCTTGACCTGGTCGACGGAGCTGTCCGACGTGGTAGATGTAGAGAGCCCTGTCTAATCGTGATGAGTGGCCGGTCCATACCACACCATCACCGATCACAGCGGTAAATGTCGTCAGAGGCGTTAGCAGCGTTCGTGTCGTATCCATTGCGTGTGTGAGGTCGGCGACGCCACTCCTGACGGGGTCGGCACATGCATCGATGGCAGCAGGGCTCATTTCATGGGAGAATCGGTGGCATCGACCTAGACTGATGCCACCAGCCTTGCCAGCCACAGTCGTGTCAGTCGCGGACCAACGTTGCTGTTGGCGGATAGGTCGGTGGTGCGATGATGCGGTCGGCGAAGTGCAAGTCTATCGGCGTAATCGGCGTACCAGTCGTGTTGTGTGTTTGGCGGCACAAGTCTGTGAGTAGCGCGGCAGCCACGTCTGCTGGTCGATTCCGCGGGTCCTCGTTCATAGGGCGGTTGGTCTATACGGCGTATGTGAGGGTGGCGAAGTTGAATTACAGACGACGAGGGATTTTAAGGGACACTTGGTACTTCGAATTTAGCATGAAATCGTAATATGATTGGCTTAAGAACTTCGAAATTCGAGAATAATTGTAGCCAACCACACAGCAGCAGCTGCATTTTCACAGTTTTGAACAAACACGTATTTTATAATAAATGGTTTGATGGTTCAAGATATTTTTTGTCTACTTGCGCTGTGGCGCAGTGGTTAGAGTGTCAGTGTCAAATAGGACTGCATTAGGTTTTATCCTAATCCTAATATTGCCCAATGGGCTCACCTAATTCCTAGTGCCTATGCAAAAGCATGTGCGTAGGATAGCACTGTTTTTGGGAGGTTTTCAATAAATAGATGGAGGTACCGTGCGATTGGATGGCAGGCTGAGAGATGATCGTTGAGCCGGCCGCGAGGGTGATGGGCACCGGAACGTTCTTGGAACTGTGCGGTGGTGTTGATACTAGCTGAGTTGACAGGGGACGCTCTGGACAGTTGGTCTTGGTAAGCAG